ATAAATTCAATAAGAAAATTAAATATTAGTCAAAAACATACAAAAATAATGTGTTATTAATTTCGTTCAAACAAATAAAAATATAATAAGTGAATTCAGAATTTGCAAATGTCAATACAACTGATTATAATAAAATTTTTAGTCTACCTTAAGCGTTAAACAATACCCATTATAACACTTGCATCGACTTTTTTTTCTAAAGACATTGGTATATTTGGAAAAATAAGTTTCAAATGTATTTCATTAAAACTTTGTGTTCATTATAAGTATTTTAAATATTATTTATTTGTTTTAAACATGTAAGGAAAATGATAAATCGCTTGAGATTGAATAATTCCTTCAATAATAAATTGTTGTCTTTATAAACAGTGAAAATCTCATTAAGCATTTGCATTCATACACTTGTATTTTTATTTATATCGTACTTGCATTTTTATTTATATCGTAAAGGTCATTAGGTTTGCATTATAAATAAAAATAATTATCTAAAATTTCAATCCGCATCACCAAAAAACGACGTACACGTTAAATCGAATAATATACAAATCTGTAAAATAGCCAAATATACTGTATGAACATTACAATATGTAATCATTTTAATGAAGTGAAAAACAATATTATTAATACTTTAAAATAGGATATTTTAATATTTGTATTTTTATATCTATACGCATTTATAAAAAATGAAGGAAAATCAAATATTCAAATCTGTTATATATATATTTTTTTAGATGACAATATTATATAATATTAAAGTTTAATTACAGCATTTTTTAAATAATTTTGTCATTTCCAAATTTTTTTTTTTTTAAATGATGTCATTCTTTATTAATGTAAAGGGATTTCGATTTCAGAGCTATAGATTTAATGAGATTCTAAAAGATGGTTCTGATATCTAAAGGTGATACGTGTACTGTATAGTTTAATCCGATAGGTCCTACTGTCTGATATATGAGAAATCTTAAATCTTAGTAGACACATATTTATTTTTTTTTTTTAAGTGACGCATTTTTTTACAGCAGAGCTAAATATATATTTAAAAATTGTTCATCGTGTTCAACTATTTTAACTTACCATTATCTTATGACACTTGATACTTTAAGCGCTACTAAATTATAAGATGAAGTCACTAAATGTTTTAAACTCCTGATATCATTAAAATTTTAATTCAAATACCAGCAAGTTCTTCTTTTAGCTTTTATTAAATCTTATAACTTAATAATAAATTTAATTTAACTAATTTTCATAAATAATAATTGTAAGGTATCTTTTAAAAGTGTTAATAAATATTTATGAACTATTTTTAACTGCTTTAAATGTATCATTATAAATTCTCAAAAATAGCTCTTCAATGTGAAATTACTATTTCAATGTGAATGTCTGAATATTATTGATTACGGAGTGTTGATAAGAAGTATTAATATACACGAGATTATAAAATGTAGAATGTTTGATAAATAAGGATCAGTTTGTCTACATTTACATTGTGGGTTTATTTTTGTATAAGAGATATATTATTTCAGCCAATTTAAGAATTAGTGACAAACATAGTTTGTCAAAGGTATAGATATTAATAAAATTTTCATAATCATTCAAAGAAATTTGTTCAAAGGTTTATTAAAAAAAAGATTTATTAAAACTTATTAAAAAAAAAATCATCGTAAACTCAATAAACTTTTTATAAACTATAGAACACTAGTAAATAGTTTATTATAAATTTTACAAACATGTGAAAAGTGGTTTAAAGTTTATACATTATGACTTAGCGAATTTGTCATACGCTCATTACAATGTAAGACTCTATTAAAAGTCATAGGTCGGATAGTAAGGCGAACATTTAGCTCGCTCTTTACTATTTCATATCAACGTAAAAATCGGATCAGCTACATCTGTGAAATAGTTATTTTCAGGCCTTGCTGCCTTGAAAAATTCGTACAGGAGTCGAGGTCCTTCTAAAATACATAGTCCGATAATTTTAGATCAGTTAACCGAAGACGAAAATACATTCGTAATACATCACACCTAACGGAATCGCAATATTAAATAATACTTTCACATAATTCTTCGTGCTCCTTTCGAAATACGTAATTTTTAGAATACAGCAATAGAAGTTCTACCTGCGATTTTCCATTTCTAAGTACTCATTGATTTCCGTATCCATCGGAAACATGTCACGACTTGCGCTAAAGCCACTCTTCGGTATATACTTACCCCTCCCCACACTATTTGCATAATCGAGCCTTCCTCGCTTTCCATGTAAATGGTTATTCCCATAAATTATTAAATAGGAACAATGGTAGAGAGCAAATTGTCAAAGGTGCAATGGAAAAGGCGACGCCTGCCAAAATCTTCCACATTCCCTTGAGAAATAACTGCGTTATCGCAAATCGCCCGGAGCATCTAAGGCTATAACCTTGAATCCCACCATTCCGGCGTTTTTACTTATGCGACTTATCAGTCTGCGAGCACGTGTACCCCAATATTTTGGGGAAATCGCCGAAACTTTGATATATTCTTACCTTCTATGCGAAATGGGTAAATGTATCGATAGGTAGAAAGAAAATAATTGCAAGCGTCAAATACAATTTTGTATAATGAAAGAATGCTTCGCTAAGCAAATTAATTATTTCCAACCTGTCGAGCATCCAATCGTCTGCGCCTGCCATATATATACACACTCGTTGATTCCAGTTTGCAAAAAAGAGAATTATGCGAATGAGCAACCAATGGAGATAATATTAATGAATTCAAAAAGAAATAAACATTGAAGCGCAAACAATGTAATAATAGCAATAAAGCAAAGAGAACCATCGTTGTTGCTTTCCCTGCATTTTATTTTTTCTCCTTAAATTTTACGAGGTACAGAATGTTATCTTGAATTCTTGTTGCTACGCAAAATATATTCTGACTATCAAATTCTGTTTTGACAAATTTGTTAGTAAAAATAATAATGTCAGATCTGCAAAGAAAAAAATGACAGATAAAAGAGAGGCTCAGATAGCCTGCGAGAAATAAGATAGTTGAAAGATCGAATGAGAAATAAAGAATAGCAAAATCAGAAATATTTATTTATGATCAGAAATAAATGCCATTTATTATAGAAAGATTTATGTTCACTTACGGATTTTTTTATCCATATATTATGAAGAATTGTAAGAAACTGAGATAAACAATTTAAGGGAAGGAGAGGAGTTAAATAAAAATTTAGAGATTACTTCATCGGTTGTACCAATAGTTTGAATGATAAGCTTGCCTTTTATTACTTTAATCTCCATTATTATTGTAATTCTTTCACTATTATTAGGGTCAATTATTAGGATCAATCCGCCTTTCTATTCATCTTTCTTTTTTCATTAATTCTCAAGCCATTATCCCCAACGTTTTTTAAACGAGCTATCGATATGTTGTTTATTTTAGGATTATAGATTTTCATTAGACGAAGATGTGATATACTTATTAAGACGGCACTTGTAATCTCTTTAATATTTTATTTTATTTTATAAACACTTTACAAATGGGAAACATAAAGAATTCTATTTGAAACAATTATTTCTCAAAGCTTTTTCATCGCGGATATTTATATTGCATACATAAGATAAAATATTCTTCCTCTTATAAGAAATTTGTAATCATTTTATGAAAGTATGAAAAAAAGGAAGAAATTAGTAATGTAAGACTCGGCTGTGTACTATACAAAGAAATTGATTATTGACAAATCGTAATAACGGCACGTTCTGTTACTCAAACATTTCATGTATTTCATTGCATATTTCTTCGATTTAGCTACTGACAATTGTCAAGGACTAATACAGCCAAATATATAATATAACGATTAAATGAGTTTTTTTATAAACAAGTGTTGATTTTATAAAACGTATTTAAAAAATAACAGGAATTTTTTATTACGTGTATTGTTAACCTTTCTTACTGATCTGTTTTATCGACCGAAAGTATATTGTGACTTTCTCAATTAAAAAATTTATTATAACATTACCCGTAATTAACGCAATTAATTACTTTGAACAATATATAAAATCTATTTTGATTCAAAGACAATGTAAATAATATATGATTTACTGATAGAATATATATTAGGACTTTCTCAATTAAAGAATACTTGATAATATTATCCGTAACACAATTAATTACTATGAACGATTTACAAAATCTACTTTTAATTCATTCAAAGACGATGTAAGCAATATATGATTTACTTATAGAATATATATTGCGACTTTATGAATTAAGGAATTCTTTATAACATTACTCGTAACGTAATTAGTTACTTTAAATAATTGATAAAAGTTACTTTTAATTGTTTCTAAGACGATTAAAACAATATTTAAAGAGTATTAATTTACTTATATTTTTTCTTTTGTTTATTATTTACCATTTCTAATGTATAGCATTGATTAATTGAATTAAACTGTAAAATGTATAATTTCATTATAGCATAAATAGCACTTTCATAGTACGTACTTTCTTCCTTGTTACACAAATGAAGATAATATAAGGTAATATGCCGTTATTCACTAATCACAAACAAAAAAACTGTTGAAAATCTTGTGAAAAAAGATGTGTTGAAGGAAAAGGTCAGTAGATTGCCTCTAAGAAATGCGAATTTTCGCATGTCTGTTAGGAGCTATTTTAAAGATCACCGACATTACCAACTTCGTATGAACGTGGAATAAACGTACGACGTGTCGCACTCCGCCCCCAGAAGAAAAAAAGAAGTACAATTCCAATAGGGGTTGCTTCCCTTGGCGATTGCCGCTGATCGAACTTCATACATCCTCCGCGAGATTGCGCTGTCATCGCACACATACTTGCTGACCTCTCCCACTCCATTCCCATCGCCACGACGCTGGCATCGGACTCTGGAGGAACACGCCGTCAGTCGTCGCCGTCATTCGCGGGCGAGAGTTCGAGGTTCGATTTGGCTTCGGAAATCAACGAGGCAAAAGAACAAGAAATTCAGAGAAGTGTCGCCGAGGGATTTAAGTTACGATAATCGCGTACGCGCTCCATATGTATAGGCCCTGATATAAAGTCAGAAAGGAAACGAGATAAGGATACGGATAGAGGGAAGCGCGTGTGTTGGGGCAGAAAAGAGACTGGGGCGTAAGTCGCCAGTGGCCTCCATCTCCCCTTACACACGCGCCTCCGTCGTCAAGGACGAGGGAGGAGGAGGTCGTCATCAGCAGCATCCGGGACGACGCTCGAGGGGTTGTGGGAGGTTGGGGCTGAGCTTATCGAGGGCCTGCGCCAACGAATCGCCGCGAGGATGCCGCTTTTCGGAAGACGCAACGCAACTAAGAAGCCTAAGAAGGACGCCAGGGATGAGCGTACGTCTACCATCGAGGACAAGTATATCTTCAAGGAGCAGCTCGGCACGTGAGTACTATTATGCCGGTCGGGGTGGCTGCGCCGCCATGGTCGACTAAGTCTTCTCGTGTGGATGATGTAAAACTGGCGGCACTTTGTAGCCGGCATTTACGTAACTTGCGACTTCTCCTTTTATTCTTTTCGAGTGTATAATTAAAATATTGTCGAATGTCCCGCGCAACTATTTAAGAGATAATCGTGATAGTATTTCGACATGTCTTCGCCAATAAATTTCTCCGCGTATTTTTGACTCCCATTACCGTGCTTTTAGCGGTTAGTCTTTTACTGGTCCGAGCTTAAGCTTATTTCGCGTTCTCTTTACAATTGGTCATTGTGATATTTCAATCGGGCCTTACGTTATCGAATAATTCATATCGTTACATCATGCTCTTCAAATAGTATATACATTGACACGTTTTTATCAATGAACTATATGCACTATACAATTTTATATAATGCTTAACGCACTTTTAGAGCATTCTAAACAGTTAATGAATTCATGCAGCACAAGGCTTTAATTATTACCAATACGAAACGCTCATATAGAAAAAACTATCTTTTGAAAGTATATTATCCTTAATACACTTGTCTATATTATTAATCACTGTGACTTTTGAAATAATAATAAAAGGAGGAATCTCTAAATTTAGGAATTCCGTGAATAGATGTTTGATGAACTAATAAAATCTTAAAACTTTTATTAAGTATACTTTTTGTAAAACTAACAGAATTGAAGTAATTTTTTAAATTAAACTCATAAAATTTAATGTTAATATACTTACATTGTTTAATAAAAGGCATTTAATCCTTATAAATTTATATCGTAAAAAGATTTTTTTAATAGAACTATTTTAAAAGCCAAACTAATCAATTTAACATTAAATTTAATGTCTGCATGTAAAAACAAACATTTACTTTTTGTGTCAACTGTCTACTATAAATTTTATTTATAACATTTTATTTTTAAAATAATAGCTTTTATAAATTAAATGAAAATATAATATCAAAGTAAATATTATGATATTGTAACGTAAGGTTTTTAATTACTTAACGATAAAATTAATACTTACTGTTATATTTTATTATATTGAAAATAATGATAAAAATACAAAATGGAAAATAAATATTAATAAAATATTCAATTTATGGTAAACAAATAATATACATTTGACATTAATTGGAGTATTTTTCAAAAAGTTTATTCAATAGCATTCAAAAACATACTTATAAATAAAATATGCAATTTTGGCCAAATCCAATTTAATTATTTTCTACTTGAACATTGTATGGAATGGTAAAAGAAACGTGCAATTGTAATTGTATAACTTTGTATTTAATAACAAAATTAAATTATGGAAAAAATATAAAAAAAAGTAATATTTTACTTTGTTTAAAAAGTTAAGCTACGATATCAAGATTTAATCTATTTATATCAATAGTTTATCAAACTCGTATGATTTGATGTTGTACTTTCTTGAAAAATAATTTGAAAAAAGAGTCCAGCTCATAATTATTAGAATAATGTTTAAATTTTAGATGTAATTGGTGTATATCCATACATCGATACTGACGAGATAACAATAAATAATTAAGTTGGTCTTGTATAAAATAATAAAAAGTAAAATTATTTGATCATTTTACGTTCTACAAGTTCAGATTTGATTTATTTGTATATAGTAGTAAATATATTATGAAACATCAAACCTGTTATATGTCAATTAAATATTATAATTATACCTTATAGATTATTATTAATGTTTAATAAAAATTCAATTCATGGAAATAATTATTACATCGGATTTAAAATAAATATAAGATTGTCGAATACATAACGTAGTTATTTCATAATATATCTCAATATAGAAAGTATACAAAGAGAAGGAGACTGATTTGTCGAATGCTAATACCAATCTTTTCTTAGCATGTAGTATATGAATGTCCATTTATTAAGTTGGCGCATATTAAATAAAAATATTTATATACTCTTAAAAGTAATTTATTAGAAAGTAAGTTAAAAAAAATAGCAAAATTAAAATAGCATGTTGAAATTAAAAATATGACTGATATAGAAGTAAAATATTCTAATTTAAATTCCAAAATGTTGTTTATAATGTTTAATTTTTTCAACATTCTATGAATAAAATTTATATATACATAATTCCATTACAGTATTAATTTAATATAATCAATCGTATAAATAGAAAATTCTTTTTTTGTGGAAAATTTAACATAACAGTTTTAGGCCTTTTTTTATGATTTTACTATACAATTTCTGAAAATTTTAATCAATTTACAAGTATTCACTAATATTTTTTTTTATTTTAAATGTTTACTAAAATTGTAAAAAAATAGTATATTTAAAAAATGGATATCATGACAAAAATATTTCTGTTATTTTAAGTATTGCTATTAATTATATATATTATAAACGTCTTTTATTGATCTTATTTATTCTAATTATAAGCACATTTGAACAATGCTTCTATTAAATATTTAAAAAAATATTTTAAAAAATGTATACGTTATATCCTTAAATTCTCATAGCACTTGTATTTCACAAAAAATACGTAGAATTGATAATAAATATAACCCTATTTTATTAAGTATGAATGATCATAAATATTGAATACTATCGAAAATTAAATTTCGTGTATTCATATTCTAATCGCATAAAGTGATAGGTAGATTTAAGATGAGACACCTGCTTTGTTTATAGAATTGCATCATCTATATATACGATATTGATTACCTAATTAGTCGTATATATGTGACATAAAAACATGACCAGCATTAATATATACTCATATGCTTCATCATACCATAATTTAATATAAAAACAGTCAATCATTCATTTTTTAATTTATAAGGTCTTTTCGATTTTATACAAAAGACTCTATTTCAAGTGTTATAAAAAATTAGATAAACATGAATTAGGATTGGATGCATTAGAACATTATTTTAACAACGTACGATTAAGTAAAATAACTTAATATCAGTAGAAAATATTATAAATAAAGCAATATAATATCATAAAATTTTGTGCATTTAAGGGGAAAAATTGCTATGAATAGTTAGTGCAAATATAAAATAGAAAGTATATTCATTAATGTAAAATATAAAAGACTGTTGGCAAAAATAATTTTATATAAAAAAAAATTAAAATAAGCTTTGGAACAATCTACAATATAGGAAATTAAATAAGAATTATTTCATAAAATCAACATTGAATAGGAATTAATGTTTTATTTCTTGTCATAACATCACAATTCCAGTATCGTCAAATTTTTCTTAATGAAATATAACGAGGTTATCAAAATGATACAAACCGATAATAATATCAACCAAAACAATAGATACAAAGCAATTCGGTGTCGGATTTCATATCTTTGGATATATTTTTTAATTCGATTGATAAATTAAAATAATTGTAGATCAATCAGGGGTTAAATATATTAGACAATAATAATCCGCATAATTCAACATTTAAAGTAGCACACAACCTAAAGATTTTGAGATTTCAAAGAAATGAAAAGAAAAGTTCGTTAATTAACTTCCAATTATTCAAGTATAAATAGTATAAAATTATTTGAACCTTTTTGAATGCGAATATTGTAATAATATAAAAAAAGATGCTAAATACGAACAAGTTTGACTGTATTTATATACCCATATTAAACTTACATTGCATGCTAAAGCTTTAAGATGTTAAAAGACGTATAGTAAATATTGAAATAATTTTTTATGATATTATCGGTAACAAACTTTGCAAAGAACGTTTAATTCAAAGGGGAAAGCGAATTAACTAAATGAAAAGTATCTTCTACATTGCGGTGCAAAAAATAACTAATCCATTTATTGACTTTCTTTTACATGAATCACTACATTTAATTAAAAAAAAGAAATTATCTTTTGTCAATATTGTAGAAATATATACAAACAATATAAAAGTATATAAAGCTAGAAAATGATCTATTGAAACGAAATTGGATTTTCGCTTCAGTACTTGTACAATGTTTATTTCCTCCATTGCTTGCTGAAGCAGAACTTTTTAATTAGTGTTTAAAAATCTTACTAAAGAAATATGTGACATAAATTTATATCTCAATTACATATCACATGTTATAAACACTTAGCTAGATTATAAAAGCTTATAATTAATTCACTTTTATACAAATTGAAAATAATTGAAAATAACAAACATAATCATACCAAGGCATTTGCTAAATCCTCGTATTAGTTATTTTAGCTACTTTTATTTTAATAGGCAAGAATTAATTTTTTCATTCTTCTACCAAATTTTTTTCATATTATTACAACATACGATATATTTTAAAGAAATAATTAAAAAATTTAACCACATCGAGAAGTATTTTTAAAAATACTATTAAATGACGATTTAGCAAATGCCTTGGTATGATTATGTTTGTCATTTTTAAGTAATAATTTCAAAAAATTTTATTTAGCTAATAATAAGCTCTAAATTGAAACCTATTTATATTTTTATCTATCTTTATCTTTTATAATTTTCAAAATGTTCACACAAACTTTTCGTATTTTAAATCATGTTCTATCGTAACACGATCTCAAAATGCATTTAAATGTATTTACATTTTAATGCATTTAAACATTTATAAAAAAAAAAATAGAAAGAATAAAATATTTGTAATTTATATATAGATTCCAATTACGTAGTTTTTACTAATTTTGATTTTTACAAGATATTTAATGATACAAAATTCGACTATTTATTGTTCATGAGTGTCTATATATAAGAACTTGCCTATAGTATAACTACGGCATTTTCAATTATTTTAAAAAAGGAAACAAAAACATTAACGAAATCTCAGAAATTTAATAAAATCATATATTTGTCCAGGAATTCATTAATATTCTAGTACTTGTTTCTGGTCACTATGTAAAAACGGATGTTTTTATAATGTGACTTTTTACTCATACTTTGTATACTTTCCAACAATTTATTTACTTTAATTATTTTCTTTTTGTAGATG